AAAAAAGAGGGGGGGGAAAATAAAATAAGAAATCTTACTGTTGTAATATTTCACCATAAAATAAAAAACTAAAAAAAAATAGAGAAAAATAGATATTTAAAAAATACTACTATTACTAATAATATTTTGATTTTACTTTACATTGCAACTGTAAATTTACAATACTAATCTTTATGGCTGGTTTAATTTCTTACTTTTCAAATGTTAAATTAGTGACCGCAGAGAGCCCTTAAAATTTCTCTTTTGTTGTTGCTTCTCATTACACGTTTGGAAAGATGGTTAAAACGTGAAAATTTATAGTAAAATTAAACTGCAGCCTTTTACATTTATTAATCACACTAAGCCATATCACAATTTCAGTACTAGATCAATTAATTAGGCAGCCCCAGTACAAATCATTTTTGCAGCTACTGTGTTTATCAAGTCAAGAGATGAGAGGAACCTTCATCATGGTGATGGCGATATATCGGGCCTCTTTGATGATCATGGGCTCATATGTCGCCTCCAGTTTGGGCGGTGGGTGGCCACCGTAGGTGAGGTCAGTGCCTGATGTGGAATTAGAGGAGCTGCCTGGCAAACGCTGCAGTTTCTTCATGTTCTCCTGCTGGAGGGACTTCTTCTGAGAGACAGGAACAGCCTTGACTTCAACCTAAAACACAGAGCAGAGACAGTTAGGTATATGCTGGTTTCATAACATACCTTTTGATACGAGAAAGATGTTAACCTTCATGTTTGGCACATGCACAACATCTCCATATTGGTCTTTGGTCTGCACCACAACAGTAGTGGGCCAGCCACAGCGGATGTCGTCTTTGTTGAGTATGAGCGAGGTCTTCTGAGGGTCTGCGTAGGAGTCTGGCTGGAGCCACCTGGGACAGCAGAATGGTAAAGATGCTAAGATGAAGGCCAGGTTTTAAAGGATGTATAAACAGTACATATTAGATTCTTTATGAATAAAGGGAGCTGAGAAATGTTTGAGACCAACCTGGCGAGCCGCCCGCCGCTGGAGTTCTGCACACAGGTGATGAAGTCCTCTAGGAAGGAGTGTTCGTTAGTCTGCAGGTGCAGCAGCAGGTTGCCCTCCAGCGCCTCTAGGATTGTGGGAGAGTGAGAAAGCGCCAGTCCCTTCCCCAGGAGCCCTGAGTGGGTTTTACAAACCTGCTTGACACAAGCACACGATTAGAGCTCAGTCTGATGATGGTACTGTGCTCATAAACACCAAAACTATTTCTAATTCAGTACCTGGAGTGAGGCTTCCTCTAAAATCTCCAAATCCTCCTCCAGTTCATTTCCTGTAAGATGGTACATAATCCACATAATCAGATGAAAAAGACACAAAGTTCATGCTTATGATTTTATCAGTGGCACCAATAAAGGAAATATTAAGTTAACTTCCTTTTTTCAATAGCTCAGATGTAGCTTTTCCAGTAACAAGCTACTTTTTAAGACTTTTTGAAGTTCTAGTGTAAATGGCAAATGTATCAATTTTATCAATTAAAAAAAATATATCAGGTATGGTCAGATAAATTAATCCTTTTTTATCCATTAAAATCCTGTTACTCTATCGGAGATTAATTCGAACATCTTTATATGTAAATATGTAAATAAATACACTACCGTTCAAATATTTGAGGTCAATATGATTTTTTTAATGTTTTTAAAATAAGTCTCTTAATCAAGGCTTCATATATTTGATAAAAATACAGTGTAAATACAGAAACACAGTAATAATACAGTAATACTGTGAAATATCACACTTTTAAATAACTGTTTTCTATTATAATATATTTAAATTTTTATTTATTTGTTATGGCAAAGCTGAATTTTCAGCATCATTACTTCAGTCTTCAGTGTCAACTACAGAAATCAGTCTAATATGCTGATTTGCTGCTCAACAAACGTTCCTTATTATTATCAATGTTGAAAACAGTTCAACAGTGGAAACTGAGATACATTTTTTCAGGATTTTTTGATGAATAGAAAATTTAAGGGAACAGAATTTATTTGAAACAGAAGTCTTTTCTAACATTATATATGTCTTAAAGGTGCCATAGAATGCATTGATACAATATTTTAAATTGTTCTCTGATATCTACATAGAAGGTATGTGGCTTAGGTAAGGGCAAAAAATCTCCAGAAACGGTTTTACATGTCCATTTACAACCCTAGGATTTGTCCCTAGAATGAAATGGTCTGTTATTACCTTATTTGGAAGGGTCATGAATAATAATGTTCAGCTCTGCTCTGATTGGCTGTTTCGCAGTGCGGCTCATTTCAGTAGCTCACACAGCAGGAAGGAAACACAGGGAAAATATATATTTCAATACTGTCTCTCGCA